ATTTATTGATGCAGAAAATGCCTTCAACTCGCTCAATAGAGAATTTGCTCTAAAAAATGTAGAAATCACTTGTCCGGCACTACATCATGCGCTGGCCAACTCATATAAACATCCCTCAAGTCTTTATGTCACTAACACCGTGTTGACATCTACCGAAGGCACAATGCAAGGTGATCCCCTCGCAATGGGTATGTACGGAGTTGGGATTATCCCACTGATTAAGCTCCTGCAAAATCCAAGTGTCACCCAAGAATGGTACGCAGATGATTGAAGCGCTGCAAGTGATCTTTAGAGTCTCGGCGCAATACTGGACAACCTGGTTGTGCACGGAAAGGCTTTCGGATGCAATGCGAAGCCTTCTAATTGTCAACTCATCGTGAAAGAAAACCGTCTTACAGCGCCATAAAACTATTCGAAGGCACAAATATTACAAGGGTAGACGGTTATAGAGTCCTTGGATCGGTTATAGGAACACCATCAGCAGGTGATAAATACATGGAAAGCGAAATTGAAAAGACAGCTACCCTAAATGAAAAGCTTTCCAAAATAGCTAAAACATCACCACAAAATGCGTACTCCTGCTACACAAAGAAAAATCAAAAAAAATTTAGCTTTTTAACCAGAACAACTCCGGAAGCATTTGAGAAATTGGATGAAATTGAGAAAAACGTAAATCAGCAGATACCAGTATTACTGGTAAAAACCATATAACCGATGAAGATCGCATCTTTTTGGCACTAGATTCGCATCTTTTTTTTGGTTGAAACTGACTTGAGAGTGAAGGACATTTTGGAGCCATATGAATCTAAAATCAAGCTTCACAACGCCTTATACTGCAGAACCTTCTGACTAAACAGAAAAAAAAAGAAAACTAAATTAACACTTTAATTGCCAAATAAAATAATTTGCTAACAGGCAAGTGTATGTCAGATATTAATGGAATAAGGTTTATCATGAGGGACAATTTAACGTATTAATTACAAATATTGATAAACAAAAAAACCAAGGGCGATGCAAACATTTTCTAGATGCATTGAAATTTTCCGTGTTAAATTACCATAGGTTAAAGAAATTTTTGCTAAAAAGTAATTTCAAACGTTTTCGCAACTATGTGCATCGTCAGGATTTTTACAATAAACTAATCTAAATGACAATAAAACATCAATTAACAAATGTTATTTACAATAATTCACATACAATTTGGTTCTAAACCATCATCACAAAAAATTAGCCAATCCCAGTTGACCTCTAGATTACTATTAAGATTAAAATACTTTTAACTTCTAAAAATAATTAAATTAATTTGTCTGGAATTTTTTGAGTCATAATTTCGATTTGGACATGAACATTTTAAATAAAAAACCAAATATATTTTCGGATTAAATTTTCAGTGTTAACTCCCTGCTCCTTAACTCATCGCGCGTGTTCAAGCCCGGTTTCTCCTTCCTGATGTTTTGCCTCTAGAGTTAGCAATTTCGTTTGGTTGTTTGACCTATCTATAATTTCCCAACTACGAACTGCGCTATTTCCCTCAAGTTGGCATTGCTGAATGTGGAGGCCTACCGGTGAGTCTGCTTTCTTATGTTCCTCAATTCAAGTGGTCAAATGTCGAACAGTTTGTCCGACATAGGTGGAAGTGCATCAACTACAGGACAGTTTATAAACCACTCTTGACTTGAGGTCATTAGAAAATGCTGACTTCAGTGATGGTAAACATGATTCTAGTTTTCTTGTGGTGAAAACCATTTGAACGTTAGTTAATTTTCGTAACCTGTTAGCAAAATATTGGCCCTGTTTACCTCTATACTGCACCATTAGCATTGGGGGCTTCACATCCTTTGGTGATTGAACTAACAAACATCTCTCACTATCCAGGAGCTTGCCCTTGCCCTCGATGATCTTGCACAATGCGTCTGAAGCCAACTTTGCGGACCGATTTTCAGGGTACTGATTTGTCAGCCATTGCGCCCTATTAGTTTCCATAGCCTTATCAAATTGCTCCCAGCTGGATGTACTCCTAAAAACCCTGTGTACAGTGCCCTGGATAACACTACGCTTATACTGAGTTGGGGCGCAGCTTCTATAATTCAGTATAGTCCCTGTATTTGTTGGTTTTTGGTACCAACTGCAAGTTACACGTCTACCCTGCGATACATTTATGTTCAAATCCAGGAACGGCAAATTACCCTCGGAAATTGTTTTCTCTAAAGTGAACTGCAATTTTGGATGAAGAGAATTGGCGGCATCGAGAAGACAACTCGGCTCACCACCGACTGTTCTAACAATGTCATCCACACACCTGAGGAACAATTTCACCTGGGGAGTATCCTTCTCCTTGTTCTTAGCTCGGCAGCAGCTTTCACAGTACCAGAATATCTCGGTTGTTGATGCGTATACGCCATCGGATATTTTTCCGCATTTTAGATGATACCAGTTTCGGCAACTCCCGCATTCAACCAGCTTTGATCTATATGTGACTTTTCTGCTGCAACATGGGCACAAGCCGTTTTTGTCATTAACTTGCTGTACCTCCGTTCCCACTGGTATTTCTTGTCTTCGAGCAAACGTGTACTCTTTCAGCCTTAAGTTTGCCAGAATTACATTGAGGGACGCGCCCATTGTTAAACCATCAACTTGTACATACCATGAATCGATACACGTGAAATATTTTTTGCTGACCGCCATATTCAAAAGCCTTTTCTCAGGTTGCTCTTTGAATTTCAGGAGGAGACTCTTGGCTGTACAGCTTCTGTAAAGCAATTTCAGCTGCCGCCTTCAGGGGAACATTGCTGTAGAAACTTTTCACATCAAGAGATATTATGGTTTCATCCGGATTTGGAGCAATGTTTTCAATTGTTTCTCTAGCCTCTTTAGTATTGGTTTCTATATTTGCTCCATCGATGTTGTCAAAAAACTTTGCAAGCATTTTGTTGAGATTCTCATACGAGCTGCCTGGAAGTGATAGTACTGGTCGTAGGGGTGTCTCATCCATGGGTACCTTAGCTAAACCGTACAAACGGGCGGGCTGCCCCCTGTTGATCTCATCTTAGAATATAACTGATCACTTATCTCGTTTCTTTTGTTCATAGCTAGTAATTCTTTGTTAAGTTCCTTCTCAATTTTCAGTATAACCTCATCAGTGGTTGCATCTTTTTTCGCAAACTGAGCAGATTGCAACAAGGATTCCAATTGATTCATACGTTTGTTTCCTCATTATGCAAAAACCAACCTTCTTCTCAAAAGGCACAGCCAGCAACCCATTATCTTTGAGATATTTCCTCGTTTTGTCAACGGCTTTGTCTCTTGGGATTTGCCTTACGTTTTTTGCATATGCTTTTGCCGCGGCTTCTATTTCAAATAACGTTTCACCAGATGTTTTTTGATTTTTTCAATTGTGAGAGGAAATAGTTGATATCCGCCAAAAAGTGTGTTTCGTTAAATTTGTCTCTAATGGGATGCATCGGGCCCATTGATAGCACGTCATATACCCATCCAGGTAGTTCAATGTTATCAAGTACCTTAACTGATCGCTCATTTCTCCCCCAAGAAGTTTATCTTGTCTCTCGGACAGTTTTTCTAACTTTTTCTATGGTTTTTTGATGTTGTCTTTAAGCTTGCCTCAACTTGACGCCTCACGAAGCGGAAAATGGATGCCCACCACTGTTCGTCAATTTCTTTTTTGCACCAGTGATTTTGCTTTCATTAGCATCTCCTCGTAATTTTCCTATCCTCTTTTGACCTAGAAGTTTCAGTCCTTAGTAGTTTAAATTGAAAATTATGCACAGCTTGGTCCGAAAAAAAACCGTTCTCGGGGACCCTAAATTTGAAAAATTCCGGTATTATATCGTTTTTCAGACATTTTCTCAGAAACTTCAGTCTACGTACAGACACTTGAACTTTTTTAAAGAATTTTAAATAGTCTAACTCAATCAGCGCTGACAGACTTTCTTTGTGTGCCACTACCAACCGCAGAGATTTCAACTCCAACTCAGCACTCTGGTGCAGCTTCAAATTTTCCTTGAGCTGCCCCGGGTCGTTTTGCTTGCTCTTGGAGAGTAGCCTTTTTAAAGCTGGAATAATGAGCACTCCTGTGCCGAGAAGCTGACTAAACAAGTCGGGCGTTCCTTCCCTTCTGCAATAAACGATCGCCAAAATCTGCTGCTTCTTCGACTTCAAATATTTTGTCAGTTCCTCGACACCGACTGGGCGATAGTTTTTTTTTCTGTGGCTGCTAATGGTGTTGTTCACCACGTCGTGCCACACAACCACTTTTTTCTCCTTCAGTGGACTGTCTTCCAGTAATCGTCGGAGGTTCTTTCTTTGGTTCGGCAAGTTGTTATTAAGGGAAAAACCAGAAATTGCCGTAACAAGGCTCTCGTATTGCTTTTTCTCACATGTGTTAAGGGTGTTGATGCTGTGGAACAGGGAACTAGCTGCTACAATATGAAACCTTTCGGTAACTTAAAAGAAAATTGGCCATATTTTACGGATCGATAAAAAAAAACACTATAAAAATTCCCTATACTTGGATGAAAATCATTAAAAATATTCATACTGGCCCTTTAATGGGAAAACAGTTGGAATTTTAAGCTGTTCGATTTTTGGTTTATAACGAATTTACAAGTAAAATTGAGAAAATTTTTGCTAAAAATAAATTTCAAACGTTTTCGCAACTATGTGCAACGTCAGGGCTTTTACAATAAACTAATCTAAATGACGATAAAACATCAATTTACAAATGTTATTTACAATAATTTACATACAATTTGGTTCTAAACTATCATGATAAAAAATTAGCCAATCAAAGTTGACCTCTAAATTACTATTAAGATTAAAATACTTTTAACCTCTAAAATTAATTAACCTTTTTAAAATTAATTTGTCTGGAAGTTTCAGAGTCAAAATTTCGATTTAGACATGTACGTTTTAATTAGAAAACCGAAACAGCAGGCAAATGTTGTTTAAAACTCTCCCAATTGCCGTTTTTTACCATAGGTTAGCCTAATTGTTGTGATAAACTTATTAAATAGTTTCATGTGATATCATACGCTCATACGCTTGTGAGAAGAAGGCCCGGTACGGGATTTTAGAGACAAGCTCATCAAGCCGCGATACTCCCCCTCTATCCGGACATCTCCGCCGGAATCTCCACTCGTGAAAAGACAGGTTGTAATTGCTATCATTTCTTTTTTGTTATTCGTTCTTTAAGTCCATTTCTCTACAATCCATAGTACAATCTATTCTTTCTCTTGTTTTGCCTCTTTTGTACCTTGTTTAGTGAATGTCCGTGCCGAAGTACAGGCCGAAGTGGCTACCCAAGTGGAGCAGGAAAGTGGTAATAGGAACCTCAAGGACCAAGTACTGCAGCCCCAAAGATGCCGGTGCCACGGTTCACTCGTACAAGGCTAGCCGACCTGGCCACTACTGTCTCGCGCTACCCCTCGCAGAAACTGAATTGTGTTACTATAGTAGCCGGATTTAATGATAACTGATCTACGGTTTCAGACTTTGCAAATGATTGGAGAATTTTTGATAAATTTGATAACTCATAAAATAAACACAAATGCGCTAATTATCCCCAAAACCCTCCTCTCTGCAAATAATCACTTCATAAACAGAAAGTTTGATGCTTCTAATAACTCTTTGTTTCGCCTTATTAAAACATTTTACCACTCAAGAATCCGAATTAATTCCCCCAATCTTAATGTTAGTTTTAGTGCTAATATGTTTTGTAAAAATGGTATACATTTTTAATTTTATGGTAATAAAATTTTTTAGTTTATTGCTCGCTCAGCTAACTTGTTTATATTGACCATAGATTTATCCTCCTCGCTGCCAAATTATGGCCGATCAAACGCACTGCCGTATTTGCAAACGCCACCTCCGAAAAGGAGGCATATGATGTGTCATTTGCATCCATGTCTCATGTAGCGGGCTACAGAGCAGCAAAATTTACTACGATGGGTTCTCCTGCATACAATGCGCCCCCGAGAACTTTGCAATGCTCCATTAACAGACCAATAAGCAAAACCCCTATCACAACTAAAAAAAAAACATCACCGACAACACGTGAAACAAACGTACTGCCCAATGCAACACAATCTTATCCATCGCCCCCAGCAATCACTACAGCCCTCTTTGACCCCTGGAAACTTATCGACCAAGAACTTGAAAATAAAATATATGACATATATAAAAAGGTCATTAACTGGAAATCGCGCTTCAGAATTCGAAGCAAGAACAAGCCCGGTATCCAATTCATAGAATTACTGAACCAGCAGCTGTTGTCATTAGTAGACGAAACAACAAATTCTTACGTCGCAATGAAAGCAGCAATAATTCTCCCACAATTCACTGAAGCGAAAGCTCTCCAAATTAGACATCCAAAACAGAAAAAGTCCGAAGTAAACGAGGAAGTTTAGCAATTAAATAAACTAATGAGTACAGGCAAACTTTCTGCCGCCATTGGCTGCCTTTCAGACAAGAAAACAAAAGTATCCTTAGTATCCTGAGAAAAAAGACCCTCCGGCCAAAACAGCGAAGACTATATAACCGAAGTAAGTGAAGACACAATGCCATACCACCCCTCTATTTTTGATTAAATAAATGCCTAGACATTTGAAAATCAACCCTGAAAACGCATGGAAGCCACGGTCCCTGCGAATGGAGAAGTATATTAACTCACTTCAACAAGACATCCATTGAGCTTTGCAATCAATGGCTAATTTATCCTATACAATAGCAAGTAAAGTTGCCTTCCTTGAAAACCCAACGGTGTAAAGTTCGTCTGGCCTGATACCTCTGGACAAAAATCCAGGGGTACGGCCCATTGGTATAGGCGAAGTTCTGAAAAGAATAATTGGCAAAACAATCAACAATGTATAAAATCAGACCTTATAAATATCGGAAAAAATTTCCAACTATGCTTAGGCCAAAAGTGTGGAACCGAATATGCTATCCACAGCTTGAGGAACAAGTTTATGAAACCGGAAACGGACGCCATACTATTTATTGATGCAGAAAATGCCTTCAACTCGCTCAATAGAGAATTTGCTCTAAAAAATGTAGAAATCACTTGTCCGGCACTACATCATGCGCTGGCCAACTCATATAAACATCCCTCAAGTCTTTATGTCACTAACACCGTGTTGACATCTACCGAAGGCACAATGCAAGGTGATCCCCTCGCAATGGGTATGTACGGAGTTGGGATTATCCCACTGATTAAGCTCCTGCAAAATCCAAGTGTCACCCAAGAATGGTACGCAGATGATTGAAGCGCTGCAAGTGATCTTTAGAGTCTCGGCGCAATACTGGACAACCTGGTTGTGCACGGAAAGGCTTTCGGATGCAATGCGAAGCCTTCTAATTGTCAACTCATCGTGAAAGAAAACCGTCTTACAGCGCCATAAAACTATTCGAAGGCACAAATATTACAAGGGTAGACGGTTATAGAGTCCTTGGATCGGTTATAGGAACACCATCAGCAGGTGATAAATACATGGAAAGCGAAATTGAAAAGACAGCTACCCTAAATGAAAAGCTTTCCAAAATAGCTAAAACATCACCACAAAATGCGTACTCCTGCTACACAAAGAAAAATCAAAAAAAATTTAGCTTTTTAACCAGAACAACTCCGGAAGCATTTGAGAAATTGGATGAAATTGAGAAAAACGTAAATCAGCAGATACCAGTATTACTGGTAAAAACCATATAACCGATGAAGATCGCATCTTTTTGGCACTACCACTAAGAATGGGAGGATTAGCCTCCTCAGTAACACGAGCTTTTCCAGAAATTATAAGTGGTCACAAGCCATTTGTGATCCGTTAGAAAACAGTAATCCAGAAATAGCTGAAACGGAACAATCTCTGATAAATAGAAACATCAAAACTGAGAGACAGAACATCACAATCTCAAAAAAAGGCTAAAATTATGGAAAATTGCTCATCAGAAAAAAAAATGACAATAAATTTAGCGTCACAGAAAGGAGCATCGAATTGGCTAAGCGTGCTACACTTAAAAATACAATTTTTCCCTCAACAAGTCAGAGTTTAAATAAGGATTACATCTGAGATATGGATGGTAACCACCAAAAACCCCACTTACATGCCCATGTAGACATTTGTTCACACTGACCCACTCTCTATACTCACCAAAGACACAATAAAATTCGCGATACCTTTGCGACACCACTGGACGAAGTATGCCATGATGTTGAAAAAGAACCGAAACTTCAATCGTTGAAAGGCGAAAGCTTTCACAATAAAACAACCACTACTGAAGATGACGCTCGACTTAACATCAAGGCAAATGGACTCTGGGGAGACCGATTCAGCCGAACCTTTTTCGATGCAAAAAATTTCAACCCTCATGCTAAATCCTGCCCCAAAACTATATCTGACGCCAACAAATATCATGAGAGTGTCAAACTATTAAAATACCAAAAATGAAATCTGGATGTGAAACACAGCAGCTTTGTTCAACTAATTTTTGCGTGTACCGGAGGAGCAGCACCAGACTCTACAAAAACCATCCAGAAACTAGCAGAGAAACTAAGCGAGAAACGGAACGAATCATACTCGGACACAATAAACTTTACAAGAAAAAAAATAAGTTTTGCACTTCTGAGGAGTGCAATCCTCTGCCTTAGGGGGTGCAAAAATCTTTAAAATACATCCAACATAGACAATTCTATCTGTGCTATAAAAAAGGGGGGTAGATTTTAATTGACAATTCTCTTGATGCATTAATATCAACTTGATTTATTCATAAAATTTTGCCGATGTGTTTATATAGCGTTGGTAAGGCCCTATCCAACCTGTGTACGTACCGTCGCATGACGGAAGGGCCCGTTTTATTTGCAGTTTTCTTAAAGGATCATTTAAAGAACAAAGAACACTTCACTTACTTTACAAGAGTGCGTGAAACGTTCGTTTGAAATTACAATTTTAACGCATTCTCAAAATGCTGTAAATTATTGAATCAAAATTTCAGGTTAGTTGTTTAATTAGTTTGAGAATTAGTTAAAATTGTGAGTGTAAACAAACGTTTTCGCACATTTTTTTTGCATCTTCAGATTTTAAAAAAAAATCCTAACTCATCTGTACAAAATGATCAGAGATCATAAAAAGTAAAATACACGTCATTATTTCATAACTTAAGTTTAACCAATCACAAATTCTCAATTATTATTGAAGTTATGTAACAACTATTACGTAACAATTTATAATTTTAGCAACAATTTTTTGGAGCTTTCAACCTTTTTTCAACGGTTTGTATTGTTGCTAATGTGATGCTAACATATAAGTTGTATCAGTACTTTTTGTTTCAGCCCAATTCTTTCGATTCTGTAACTAAAGCCTCAGTATCAGCTCTCTTCTTCTAAAATTGTCGCGCGTATTGATTGCCGGCCTCTCTTTCCTAATATGCAGTGTCTCTCATGAAAGTAATTTAATGCTGCTGAGCGCCTGGTCGATTATCTTCCAATTAAACTTCGATTTACCACTATCACTTACTACCACACTGCGTTATATGCTGAAAAACTGGTGTTTCCTCTTTTCGGTGTTCCTCAACCTTTGTGGTGAACTGTCGCACCGTCTGGCCGACAATTGTAGATTTGCACCAACAACATGCACTCACAAACTGCCACCAATGTAATTTCGGAGAGTTTGTCAAGAAAACGACCTTATAATTAATTTTTTGAGGTTCAGGGTACCGGAAAAAGCGGTGTTTTTGGACCAAGCGGTATACAGTTTTCAGACAAAAACTTCTAAGAACGGAGATTAAGAAGGCAAGAACAGAAGAGGAAAAACATCGAGGGCATACTAGAACGGCGAGAGGCGCAGTACAGAGGGTTGTAGGTGAGGCGTTTTGACCTTTGGTAATGAAATACCTAATTGGTAATAAATACCAAAAAACCACAACAACAGTTAAAGAGACCCATCAAAAGTAACTAATGAAACATCAGAACGGCAAGACCGGCATCTAGGGAAGCAAAGTGAGGGTTCGGTAGAAGCTCTTGATGATT